GATCTCTGTGTACCTGTCTGGTAGAAATTGAACAAAATCTGATTTAAATGCACGGAAAACAGGATAATGCTCAAGTGAGGTCGTTACCATGTCATGCTCAAGTACTTCGGGGTAGCAGAAAAAGAGTCTGTCTTTGCATATTGCATTGCTACAGCAAACTCTAACATCAGCTGTGCTTCCTCAAGCTTCTTCAGTTTCAGTCGTATTTTTACTTGTATTTTAAGAATCTATGTTTCATAAAATAATATTTTAAAATGCATAATGGTACTTGGAAATTAAGGAGCAGCTGGATCCATGATGGTTTTAAAGTAGCTATTGCAATATTGATGCACCTGCCCAATACATTTTGGGCTTGGATTAGGCAAGAGAGGCAAAGTGCCTTGCTGACTTAGTTTTCTTTTTCCAAGTGTATCTTTCTTGCTCTTGGATATTTGCTCTTAAAGTCTGTTCTTTAATGTCATAACTATAACTACTTTAATATCTAGATCAAAACAACTCTATTTTTCTAATTACCTTCTTGATTGAACTGTTTGGGGGTAATTCTGTGTAATTCAGTGTGATGAGAACTCTTCCAATAGGGAGCAAAAGCTCCCTATTCAACTGTCTTTTGAAATAATCAGATTCTCAGCATTTACAGAGATGGTAATTCAGCCCCTGCAGTCAGCCTTGGTTGGGTGTGGGTTAGGGAGCAGATCCATTCTGTGGTGTGAACTTGTTAAATAGCAGGGTTGCTGTGGTCCTGTAGGACTCCCTTAGCCCATTAAGATGATTAATGGATTAATTGAGTTACCCTCATTGTCTTACTTGTCACTCTGACATGTGATATGTCACAGATTGTGAACATAGCTAATAGTAAGCAAAGCTGAGAGGGTTTGTGCTTCTCCAGACGTGGTGTTTGTTTCCCATCTGTGTTAGCTGATCTCCTAAAAGATACCTTCTCCCATGAGCTTGGGCTTTATTTCTGTACCATTAAATAGAGTGTATGATTGAAAGGGACCTTTCTGATGAGCTAGTTCAGCTTTCTGCTAGACTGTAGAATATATGTTTAGAAAATATTTTGCTGTCTCTTACGCTGTAAGTTGTTCAAATACTCCTATTGACTGTTTTCTTCTTGGAAATGTGTGTCTGACTTCTGGCTTGGGTGTGCTCAGGGCTAATTTGTTCCTATTGGGCATAAATTGGCGTTGCCCTTTAGTTTCACAGAGTCCTGATGTCAACCACACTCCTCCCAGTAAGTGAGGTCAATCAACCAGTTTGTTTTGTCAGGTTTGATATACCCTGGGCTTTGCTTGTTTTGCAGCCAGTTCATATTGATGGCTGGTGTTTTCTTGTGGAGCAGCTGATAGCCCCAAGCGTTTCCTCCATTGCAGTTTCTAACTGATGAACTCCCCAAGTGTCCTGTTCATTACTGAATTCAATTTCATGTGTGACACTCTGCATTACAAGATTTGTGCAGCTCTTCCTGCGTGGCCTTGTAATCCTCTTTCCCACATAGATGTGCTTCCCAGTTTTATGTCTTCTACAAATGGCTTTGGGAGACTTTAAGTTCCCACAGGAAGGGCATTAATGGGAATATATGCTGAACTGAGCTCTAAGGTAAATCTATTAAGAAGTCTGTTAGCACCTTTCTGGCATTTTGATGTCTTTTTGCTGTAGCCAATTTCTTGCTCATTTTAAAACTAACTTTCTTTTTCACTCACTATAAAAGCCTGTCTGTAGCTCTCATGTAATTTTTACATGTGGCATAATACATGATGCACTGCCAAACAGGGTACTACACTCCCTTTTTCTTTTGAAACTCAGTTCTTTTCCTTCAGGGAAAGTTTCTCTCAATCAGGAATGGTACATCTTTAGTAGTTGCATGCTGGAAAGAGGTGGAAGACCTGCAACTGTCTCTGCACCTCTAAAACTTCTTCTACCGTTTTGCATCCTATTGAAATCAAACTGGTGGGATTTTTTTTTTCATTTGCTCTTACCATTTTGCATCCTATTGAAATCAAACTGGTGGGATTTTTTTTTTCATTTGCTCTTAAATATAGCTACAAACTTGTTTCTGTCCTGTCAAAATGTGAATTGGTTTGACTGGGGTTTGCAAGAAATTTTCACAGGTTCACCTGTGATCCTGTGTGCTTGTGCTACAATTCTGGGATGGAGATATCCTGCTGGCTCTGATTTAAGTGCATTAAGTTATTTGAGTTCTGCTTTCACCTTCAGGTGATGTAGTTTCTGCCCATAAATTTGCTAACTGGTCCATGGCCAGCCACCTCTCCCCTTCACTGAAAACTGAGTCATGGTATTAATTTAACTATAAAAAGAAAATTATCTTACATTTCTCTCCTATCTTCATTGTTTGGTGATCCTGCTGCTTCTCCCCCTCTTCTATTCTTATTCATATGACTGAAAAACCTTTTGGTACAACTTGTAATAGTCTTTGTATGGCCTAACTTGAATAGCTCATTTTTCCTTTTTTTTTTTTTTTCTTTTTTTTCCCATGCATATCTTTCTTTGATAGCTCTTCCTTTTGACCTTTATTTGAATCCTTGTAGATTGTCAAACTATTTCTAACCTCTCTTTGGAAGTGATTGCTAGGAAGAAGTGCAGGACTTGGCAACCTTTTTTTTTCTTACTTGAAATATAAAATCCTGATAGCTTTAACACCATGGGCTTGAAGAACTTCCAGGCCTCTTCCACATTCAAATTCCCAGTCTCCTCAGTCACAGGTTTTTAAGCTAAATTTCTTAACTTATCAAAATTCACACTTTTAAAATAAAATCTGTTACAAGTGTTTGCAGGTTATTTTTAATTTAAACTGAAGTACATTTTGATTGCTTAACCTGCAGTATTTTCTTGGACTCCCTCATGCACAGAGGTGGTGACTGCTTTCCAAAATACAAAGCCTTGCCTTGGCATGGTGAACTCCCAGTGCTTTAAGTGGGTGTTGTCTGCAAGGAGCAGCTGCAATGGACATGTTTATTTGGACTTTTTTTCCATAATGACATAAAAAAGCACGAGCCCAAAATATTTTATGAAGCTTCAGTGTGCAAAACCATAGCAGTTCCTCTGTGTGGTTACAAAATACAGACTGCTACTTAGGTCATTGTTCTTCTGTATAAATAACTTTCTCCAGGAGGAAAGACTTTTTCATAGGAAATGAATTTAGCTGATGTTGAAAATCCCACCAGTATAGGCAGGTGACAGTAAAATAAAACAGTGACTGTATTTGCAACAAATTTTTGTCTTGACACTTAAAGTGAATGTTGTGGTGCCAGGCAGAAGAAACAGTGAGCAGGATCTGTCCTCCTGCACACATTAACATTCTCTCATCGCTGTTTCACGACATGCACACAGAGTTTTAGAAGAAGCCAATCTCTGAGTAGTTGTACCAAAGAGTATTCCAGTCACCAAAGTTTTACTTCTGTGCTTACTAATAAAACATAGTGGTTCCTTGCCACGTTGGATGCACTTATCATGCCATAGTAGCTCTGAGGATATTTTAAGGATATTATACGGCTTTAGGAATTTGGTCTCCCTTGATTGAAGTGCATGAAATGAAGAAATTTAAGATACCCATAGCTTCAGTCACATTGGGTGATGTAATTCAGTAATACAGTAGATTTCCCAGCTGGTTGTCTCAGTGCATGATGGCTGCATTTATCTAATCAAAAATGCTTTTCTATATGATGTGTGTGTTTTAAGAATAACTTGAAGGTTTCTTACCTAGATTTTCACCTCCAGTGTTATTTAAATGTTTTGGGCTTAGTGGAATAGGAATGTAATCTGTGACTTCAGTTTGTTTCCCTATGTAGAACATTCTGCTTGGTGAATTTTTCTATTTTAAGATTCTGAGAAGCTGCTACTTACCACAAAGCAGATAACATTTATGAGTCTCAAAGGCTGGACACGCTTTCTAGGTTGAATCTCAGCATGTCCTCAGAGAACTGTTAATCATGGTGACAGCCCAACTTCCAGGGGCAAGCTGACATTTGAGGTTATTAAGTCAGAAAACGATTGGGATAAGTTTAATGGTGGGTAAACAAATATCTAACAAATGGAAGTTTCAACATTTAATTTAAAAATATATTTTAAGTGGCTGCCAGTAAGCCTGCAGAAGCATGTGAGTTGTTTCTAAAATAGAAAATGTGATGGCTCGTGGAATAGTGCATGATCAGTCATGTCATTCAAAATTACCTGTCAGCTGGCGGCAGGCAGAGTTTTCTTCTCCTTGTGGGTTTTTTTTACCCCTTCCTGTACAGTTACAAGTCAGAGGATGAATGCTGCTTCTTTGTAATCTGTGTCAGTAGAAGCTTACAGTGAGGTAATCTGAAGTACAGCTTTAATGTACTGGGTTAGAAGAAATTAAACCTTGGGATATATCACAGCAAGTGATGGTCCTGAAATGGCAGATGGGACACTGGAGTTGGTGGAACAGTCACATCAAGTTGCAGAGTGAGTCAAAGGCAAAGATCCTTAGGCATTATCTGGGAGTTCAATCATATTTTCCACTGCTCAGGAGTGGCTGTTGGCAGTTTAATCTGGTACCAGGTACATGCATTCCCACTCATTCTGCTTGCTCTGAGACAAGGCGTCTCTGCTATGTTGTAAGTTCTGAAGGAGAATTGTAATAAAACTATGGTGGTTTTTTTAATTGCAAAGAAGAGGAACCTGCTGCACCCCTCTCCTTTCTCCCCCACTATGAACTGGTTAATGTTAGTTTTGTTATTTTACCAACATTTTTGTTAAGATACTAAAATCAGTGGTAGTTAACATGTATGTATCATGATGATGCACTTCTTTCTCTCTGCAGAACCACATTTCTGTCTTAGTGCTTCACTCTCCAAAGACATTTACCATGACTCCCAGTTGTACATTCATACTTCATGTCCTAAAAGAAGGGGAAGGACTGTCAAGCGTGACTGGCACGGTGTTTTCTTGAAACTTGCTCTTTATTTCAGGAACCAAACTGACTGTGATACTAAACTAGAATTTCCTTTTGGCATTAGGTCATAGCAAACGACAGAAGCCCACTGGTGGGTAAAGTCCACTGGGAGAAAATGGTGAAGAAAGTCTCAAGATTTGGCATACGTACTGGCACTTTCAACTGCTCCAGTGACCCCAGGTATATCCTTAAAGGATTATCTAAATCCCAAGAGTATCTTAAGGCTCAGCTGTGTTCTAGCAGCAGGGCTTGCTGTGTTGTAAAAGTAACTGTGACAGAAGGTGGCTTTATTCATGTTTTTATCTCTCCTAAAGTCTGCTCAGAATGCTCCATTACATTATTTATCAGCTCTGCAGCTTCCTAAAGTGTCGTGTGGGAAATGCATGATTAGACTGTGGAGAGCATAATACAGCAGTGGAGAGGAATGAACAGAAGAGTTTGGCCTTCCAGTTTAGGCATTCAGGGAAAGGAACTGTGCTTGCTTAGGACAAAGCTGAATAGATCAGTTTTAGAGTCGTTATATCACCATCTGGAAGGGGAAAGCACAGGTTAGCATGAACCTTGCATACAGAGGCTGCCTCTCAGAATTACTGACAAATCCTGTTCCCTGACAAATGTATGTTTATATATAAACTGGCACACACCCTTGGACAACACACAGTGTGCTGTGCTAGAGTCACTGTGTTTGCATATGATTTCTAACCAGGAAGAAGAGCAGAGCCAAAGAAGCTATTAATAATTCTCTGCTGCTGTAAAAAGAGGGTTTTTTTAAGCATTTTGTTGGAGGCGTTTGCTTTACATGACAGGAGACTTTGTCTAGAATTCCAGTGGCACGTATGGATATGCACATCTTATGCAGCTTAAGTCCTAGATGTTTGCAGAAATCTCAGTGTTAATCATAAGAGGAAATACTTAGGCTTTGTAGTGCTTATGCAAAATAATCTTGTGTTTGAACATCTTAAAAATTTGGCAGTGTTTCTCTTTGCATATCTCCTAAGTAGCCTTAATGTTCTGATCAAATACCATGTTTTAAATCAATTCATTTTTTTTAATACAAGAAATGTTTTAACGAGTAAACCCTTGTGAATAGTTTTCATCAAGTTGCAGCTGAAATTCAGAAGAATACTACTTGCAGTAATCAGGATACCTGTATTAGTAGGGTAATATCTTATGGCTCTTTCTAAAAATGCTGCATTCAGATTCCTGGGAAGGGGAGTTGTAATTGTCTGAATACATTGACAGTGCAAAACCACAGAGAGGAGCTGGGTAAGATGGCTGGGAATGAGGCTGGTGGTCCCGGTGTGCAGGGTTCTCAGACATTGCAGGCCTGTTGGCTCTGTCATAGTTTGATTGTTGAAGCTTGCCAGATATTTCCTTAAAGGAGGACTAGATAATTGGGTGGAGTGATATTGGTAGGAAAGATGCAGAGAGAAGGGATCTTGTGAGACTTACTGTGCTCTGGACCATGACTCGGGGTTCAGCCATGAAGAGCCTCTTCTTTTAGTTATGGATTTGGGGTTCATCCTATCTGCCTGCCAGACAGCGTGGGTATTTTTTTAGCCCAAATCATCCAGCACCATGTGTGTGCTTCCTGCTCCACTGGTTTTGTGGCCAGCTCTCTCACCTCACCCCTTAGCCTGTCTGCATCGTGACAAAATGGTCCCAGTAGGAAGTGGACACTTGTCAGCTTCATCAAAGCAACTGCAAACCGACCAGTGTCTGCTCAACTTCACCCCACAGCTGTCTGGCAAAACCAGGATGGAAGCTGTGGGATATTGAGTTGCACTGGAGTGGTTTTCTTCTTGCCTGGAAGGCCAAGGAAAAGTAGCTTTTAATACTAAAGCTTTAAAGCAAAGAGTCAGCTTGTGTATTACTCAAATCCAATTACAAAGCATCAATGACTGCATGGCCTTGTTTACTTTAATGACCTGTGAAAATTAACACTATTCCTCTTCCTGTTTTGTGGATGCATATCTCTTTGCAATATTCCTGTAAGGTATAAAGATATTGTAAGAATAAATATGCTTTGGCAGAGAATATTGGGTACCCTTACTTCCTGCTATTATAGTATAAGGGTTCCCAGGTGCTCAGCATGTCTCATTTTTGGGCTTAGAATAGAAATGTAAGGACTCAGTCCTGGGGTTATGAAACTGGAATTTAACCTACTGTTTTCTTTGTAGATACTGCAAGAGGAGGGGTTGGCTGAAATCCACCCTCATTATGTCGGTTCCACAAACCAGCACCTCCAAGGGAAAAGTCATGCTTAAGGAATACAGCGGGCGCAGGATTGAAGTAGAGCACATCTTCAAATGGATCACAGCCCACGCTGCCTCTCGGATCAAAACCATCTACAACTCTGAGCATTTGAAAGAAGAATGGAACAAAAGTGACCAGTACCGGGTGAAAATATACCTGTTTGCCAACCTCGACCAGCCTCCGGCGTTCTTCTCTGCACTAAGTGTAAAGTTTACTGGAAGAGTAGAGTTTATTTTTGTCAACGTGGAAAACTGGGACAATAAAAGTTACATGGCAGAAATTGGTATCTACAAGACACCATCGTACATACTGAGGACTCCTGAGGGGATTTACAGGTATGGAAATAACACTGGTGAATTTATATCACTACGTGCCATGGATTCCTTTTTGCGCTCGTTGCAACCAGAAGTTAACGATTTATTTGTCTTAAGTTTAGTTTTGGTTAATCTGATGGCTTGGATGGACCTGTTTATTACACAAGGCGCCACTATAAAGCGTTTTGTGGTTCTTATAAGCACTTTAGGGACGTATAATTCACTATTAATTATTTCCTGGCTACCAGTGTTAGGTTTTTTGCAACTGCCCTACTTAGACAGCTTTTATGAGTACAGTTTAAAACTCTTCAGGTACTCAAACACAACTACTTTGGCTTCTTGGGTGAGGGCAGACTGGATGTTCTACTCTTCTCATCCAGCCCTGTTCCTCAGCACGTACCTTGGCCATGGTTTACTAATTGATTACTTTGAGAAGAAGCGAAGGCGCAATAACAACACGGATGAAGTAAATGCCAATAACCTGGAGTGGCTGTCGAGCCTGTGGGACTGGTACACCAGCTACCTGTTTCATCCCATTGCTTCTTTTCAACACTTCCCTTTTGACTCAGATTGGGATGAAGACCCAGATTTGTTCTTGGAGCGGTTGGCCTTCCCCGATCTCTGGCTTCACCCTCTGATACCAACTGATTATATTAAAAACTTACCCATGTGGAGGTTTCAATGCCTCAGCGCCCATTCTGACGAGGAAACGCTGGAAACCTTTCCAGACAGCGAAAGTGACTCTGACAGTGAGAACAGAGAGGTCTCGGAGGACGATGAGCTGGGCACGTGTCACAGGTGCAGTGAAGGAGGTGTTGATGCCTGTCCGTGTGCCAGTCACTATTGTCACCACGAGCCATGTGAACGCAGAGCCAGGTCCTGCAGCTCGTACGGCTCCGCGGGTGACCTGGAGCCAGACTGGTCAGCCTGGCCCCCCGACATGTTGCACTGTACGGAATGTGTGGTGTGTCTAGAAAATTTTGCACAGGGCTGCCTGCTGATGGGCTTGCCCTGCGGCCACGTGTTCCACCAGAATTGCATCATGAAGTGGCTGGCGGGCGGGCGGCACTGCTGTCCCGTCTGCAGGTGGGCGTCCTACAAAAAAAAGCAGCCATACACACACCCGCAGCCTTTGCCGAGTGAGCCCCCGTCTTAGCTGTGTGCCCCTGTCTTTTGTAAGCTTTCAGGATATTACTGCTTGCCTTTTAAATGTTAGTCACTTAAAAGATTACGTGGTTTGAAGTTTTAGTTTAAATGTTAGTGCAGTGAACTAAAATATACATGATGCTAGCGTTAATGACAGAATCATTTGGTTGCCTTGTATGTTGAACTGAATGCAAACTTACCTTACAAATAATTTGTTCTCTTCAACATCTGGAAACTTGATGCTGTTTTTGTAAGCACAAAAATCAAGCCTACAAGAGAAGCGTATTCCAGCAAACATTTACAAGTTGGGATGTGGGTGAAATTGAAATTCTAATCGGAGACAATTGCTTAATTTAAGTGTTTCTTATTTTAGAGTCTGTTCTGCACATCTTTGTTGAATAATGTATGTTGTAAGACAGTACCATTTAAAAAGAAATCGGTGAAATAAATTATTTTAAAAGGAGATTTGTAATGTTAATTGTTTTGATAAATATTTTGTGTGTATGGCTACAGATGTCTTGCTGGCCTGATTTATCTGTGAAGACAATAAAAATATAACACAACTGTTGTGACTAATAAATCATCTCCTAGGGAGGCAGCAATTCAGTGCTCTGAGCCACTGGCAAAGGAGAAGGCAGTGGTGTTTCACTGGGAGCTGTTTCCTTCATAAGTCTGCTGTGTTGAGGTGCTTCTCTGCTGGATGTGGTTTTCCAGTTGATTACAAGCTGCTTTTCCAGATGGACACCCTCTTCTAGCAGCTGTCTCTCCAGTATCCTCATCTGCAGACATCTAGGAAGGCTTTAGGGTAGCTCCCTCTACAGCCTCAAAGTAAACTGTTGAGAAGGAGCAGAATATTGTCATGCAGTGACAAAAGTGGCTTCTAAAGGTACAAATTGCCAGCTTCCAACTGTGCTGGTATTCTGAAGTGATTTCTGGTTTCTTTGATAGTTCTTTGGAGGCATAAAAATGAGTCTGTTGTTTTCCTTATATTTCCATATGAAACTCTGATTTTGGTTGTACCTTTCAGAAATAATTTGGCTGAAAATAGAGAGGAATTGTTGGTTGGAAAGAAAAAAGGGGGGTGGGGGGAAGAGCAGGAGATTATATGAACAGAGGAAAAGGCTAAACTAGAAAGATACTTTCAATTGTCTTACTTCTTTCCTAAATCTTGCCTATGTGATATGAAAGGACGATAATGACATAAAGATGATGATAATAGGAAATTCAAACACAGCTCCCCATTGCAGTTACAATCCATCTCCCAGTTTTATAGAGTTGGGAGGCTGGTGCTCACAGGGCTGCTGGCATTGTTTCATCTGTCCAGAGTACTTGGGCATGCTCTTTTTTATTAACAAATGTTTCGGGGCTCTGTCGCCAGGTGTGTTCCCAAGAGGACATTCATGTAATTAGCAAAAGAGCTGTTTTTAATTTACTGAGTCCTTTTTTTCTCTCTCATTTCCTTTTTCCCAGGGCAGTACTGAAGCAGAGAGGTACAAGGGGCACAATATCAGCAACTCTCCCGTGGTCCAGAAAGTAATTTTTATTCCAGTTGAGACCTGCCAGTACATGTCCTGTCTCTGTCATTACAGCCTCAGCAGAGCAGCAGAGAGGCATAATGAGGGCAAAGATCACTTCTGCTTCCAATTTGTGCAGCAGCACGGCGTATGTGCTTGTCACAAGTAGCTGACATCCACATTGTTTCAGGACTGTTTTGAAATCTGCACTGACCTGAGGCCTTTCCAAGGGAAAGGAGAAGTTTTGTGAGTATAAATAAGGCTGTAGCTGAGGTGCTGACACACACAAGTGAGGTGCAGTATCACAGCCTGCTGCAGCCTTTCGCTGGTACCCCAGCAGTTTGCCAGATGCTGTGAGTGCTAAGCTGGAGCTGTGTCCTTGGGGCACTGAGTGCTCGTGGAGTGAAGGCTGACCTCCTCACCCTCACACACAGCTCTGCTCCTGTGCACTGGCTCAGCCTTGTTTGCAAACCTTTGTGCACACCTGTTTCAGCTGAAGCCTTGTTTTAATGGCCTCGCTTTCTCTACTCATCCTGTTCTTTTGATGGATGACCCAAGCTGCTGTTTAATTAGCAGGAGAGCCACTGAGGGCACATCCACAGGAGCAGGTAATTATGACCAGTGGGTAGCTGTGGAGGGAGGTTTAGTCCCCTCGTGTCTGGGTTATATAAATTGTTGTGATGCAGTTCACGGCAACGCATCTGTTACAGAATCTTGAGCAGCTGGCGTAGTGTATTGAGAGTCCCAGCAGGACAGAAAAAGCAGTGGGATGTGTTTATTTTATGAAATGCTCGTGTCAGTAGCAGCAGAAGCCTCCAAGTAACATTGTTTTCTACCCCGTGCAGGATCTCAGACAGCCCTTCCCTGACGTGCTGGCAGTTGAACATCGGGAGAAGGGAGCAGAGGAGCAAAGACTGTGCCTGTAACAAGGTCAGCAGTTTTCTCTGCTCACATGTTTTGCCTCGCAGGGCTGGGTTGTGCTAGTGCCTGTGAAGTGTCTTAACTGAGATGCTAAACATTCCTAAAGCGTTGTTTTATTCTCTGATGTCTCGTGCCTGGAAGCTGGAGACTAATTGTAGACATAAAATGTCAACCACTAAGGTGAGGGTATTCAATTGTTTGTTAGGTTTAATAAAGGCAATGGATGTTTGGTGCTGCTATTACAAAGGATGGATTTAAATAATCTCTAAAGCTCTTTGTCACTCTCAATTTCCTCAATTATTGCTTTATTAGCACTGGCTTTCCCACTGCTGGTGCTCAGTCCAAAATGAGAGCTCTCTTTTCCAAAGCTCGTTTAGATTTTTTTTTTCTGCATTAGATTCTGGAGGGAAAGATGGCCAAGGTGAAACTGTACATTTTTGTAACTCATTAAAAAGTCTGTCTCCAGTAATTAAACAATGAGTATAAGTATAATCATAATGTACTAAAGAGTTAGATTAAGTTAATAGCACCTTTTTCTTCCTAAGCTTTTGCACTCTGTGCATCACTGATTTATTTCTAATGCTCTCAGTCTCAGATTGTGCACCGAGGTGTGAAGAGATGGACTGACTCGCTGGAGCTCCAGCAGAGCAGCTCCAAGCTGTCCCTTCATTTCAGCCAGGTGACCCTGCGGAGAGGAAGGTGAAGATGAGCCAGGCCTGGCTAGCGGGAGTGGAAATCTTTTCGGATTTCTCTGGAAGATCTCAGGCAGCTGAGGGCGGGGTGGCCATCAGCTCGAATGAGCTCTGCCCTGGCGTGCCCTGCGGAACCAAGGGAAAGGCCGGAGTGGGAGTCAGCCTTACACCAATAAATTATCGAGATGCTGGAGATGCAGAGAAGGGAGGGGAGCCGGGGAAGGCTCTGCAGCGCAGGTGTGAGCAGCTGAGGGGCTCAGCCTGGCCGAGGCTCAGGGGACAACCTATTGCTCTGTACAGCTCCCTGGCAGGGTGGGGATCAGGCTCAGCCCAGGAAACCAGCGACGGCGAGGGGGCGCAGTCTGAAGCTGAGCCAGTGGAGTTTAGGTTGCGCATTAGGAGGAATTTCTTCCCAGGGTGACTGGACATTGGAATGGGCTGCCCAAGGCGGTGGTGGAGTCACTGTCTCTGGAGGTGTTTCAGAAAAGACTTGGACGTTGCACCCAGTGCCATAGCGGTGTTCGTTCGCGGATGGACTCGATAATCTCAGAAGTCTTTCCCACCCTGACTGGCCCTTGAAGGGGTTACAGATAGGCGCGGCGTGAGGGGGCCGAGCGCTCCCGCCGCTCCCCTCAGCGCCTCCCCGCCCTCCGCGCAGGGGCGGGGCCTTGCGCAGCGCCGCGTGACTGGCGGGAAGCCGCGAGGGGCGGGGCTCGGCCGTTGGAGCCCCGCCCCCGCGCGGAGAGGGCGGGGCGCGCGGCGGCGCAGGCGCAGTGCGCTGCCCGGCCGGCGCGGTGCGGGAACCCGGAAGTGGCGGGGGGCCGCCATGGGGCTGTTCGGGAAGACCCCCGAGAAGCCGCCCAAGGAGCTGGTGAGGGGCCCGAGCCGCCGGGCGGGCCCTGGGGGCTGCGGGGCCGGCAGCGTCAGGGGGGAGCGGCGGCAGGGCCGTGTGGCGTTGCTATGGCGTCGGGCGGGGACTCGGAGGGGCCGGGCTCGGCCTGGCGCGGGGTGCACCGAGACCGGGCCCGTGAGACCCCTCAGAACCCTCCGGTGCCTGAAGGGGCCCACAGGGAGCGGAGAGGGGCTCTTTGTGGGGAAACGGAGAGGTGGGACAAGGGGGAATGGGTACAAGTTGATAGAGGGGAAATTTAGATTAGATACTAAGAAATTCTTCCCTGTGAGACACTGGAACGGGCTGCCCATGGAAGCTGTGGCTGCTCCATCCCTGGAAATGTTCAAAGCCAAGCTGGATACGGCCTTCAGCAAGCTAGTTTAGTGGAGGGTGTCCCTGTCCACAGCAGGAGGTTGGAACTATTATGGTCTGTAAGGCTCCTTCCAACCCCCTACCATTCTGTGATCCTAGCTCCTCTTGCGGACACAGCCTTGAAATTAGGAAACAGTAGCTGAAATGTTGGTACTTCTGGGGGGAAGATGAGCCTGTAGACAAACTGTGTCTCTACAGCTTTCTGCTGTCACAGTGCAATGAAATAATCGAGACTCTGGTGGATTTCACTGTGGCCTTTCATAAGTAGCTACGAATGTGTTTAAAAATCTGCTGTTTGCTGAGAGGAAGATCAAATGAATTGGAGGTACTGGAAGAGCAGCAGGGAGAAGAGTGACAGGCACACAAGCTGGAGGTTTAGACAAGCTGCAGTGTCACAGATGTTCCCTGGTGCTCCCAGCTGAGTCCCAGGAGAGCAGGCTGTGGTTGTTGCTTGTGGGGTGAGAGAATCAGATGAGGAACGTGCCTTTGGGAGTGTCCTTCCCTCCCTCCTCTGCCTGTGTCAGCACTGTGTGGGCTGGGTCAGTGTGCTGAGTGTCTGAGTGTGGTACAGGGAGAGCTGGGGCTGGGGGCTGCTGCTCCCAGGGGTGGGTGACACATGTGACAGCTCTGGAGCCCACACGTGTGGTCGTGCTGCACTCAGGAGTTCACACCTCAAGGCCTGAGGGCCACTCTTCTCTTTTGCCTTCCCTAACTGGTGAACTTGCCATGTTTTCCAGTGGCACAGAGTCTGTGGGGCACCTTGGGGCCCTTGGAGGATGGTGACAGCCACCTTGAACCTTCTTTTGTGCCACAGGACAAGGAGCAGTGGCCATGAGCTAAACCACAATAACTCCCACCTTTACATGAGGAAAAGCTTCTGGAGCAGCTGCCTGGGGAGGTTGTGGAGTCCCCCTCTCTGGAGCCATTCCAAACACACCTGGACACGTTCCTGTGTCACCTGCTCTGGGTGCCCCTGCCTTGGCAGGGCTTTGGGCTGGGTGATCTCCAGAGATCCCTCCCTGAGCCAATGATTCTGTGGTTCTTTGCAGAAAACCCTGCAGAGGCAGCAGGGAC